TATTCTCCTTTGGCTACTTCATCTTGCCTTTATTTTTTTAATGGCCTTGACCCATTCCTATACTGCTTTTCTCTGGACCTGCTATCCACCAAGTTCTGCCTGGTTTAACATTATCCCCAAGCTTTAGTCTCTGGGCTCCACTGGTACCTGAGTTCAGCTTCGAGAAGTGACCATAATTCTAGTGCTCAAGGCTATGGTAAAGAAGGCACATTTGTTGAAGCCATATCTTTGTGCCTGGGGTCATATAACCCCCCAATTTCTGTATTTCTAGCTAGTGGTAAAAGTACAACATGACTTAGTTCACTCTAAGATGGAAACTATACTAAGTGTGCTCCAAACCTTCTCCACACCTTGAAGCACAACTACCAAAAAGCTCTTTCAGTACCTTCATACAAGAGACCAATGCTTTTTGTGGGATTTTGTCAGCAAGCAGGCTGGTCCTTTTTCCAGAATGCTAGTTCTTTCCTTGCTGCCACCCCATCTTCCTTTCACTCATTAACAACCATGATGACTACCAGAAATTGGGAAAGAGAAGAGCAGTCATGGTAGCCGGAAAAGCAAGGGTCATCCTCCCAAGGGCTTTTGAAGGGCAGGGAAAATATCCATAACTGGGCCACCCCTTAAGACACCAGCAAAGCAAGAACACCAAAGTGGAAGCAAGAGAAATGTTCACCTTTAACTAATGGAATCAGAATTTTGTAATCCTCGAATCTAGAAAGAAGCTATTTTAATTTTAGCACATATGTAAGGTTTGTGGCATTTTGAAAAAAAAAAATTTTTTTTTTAATTTTTTTTTTCAACGTTTATTTATTTTTGGGACAGAGAGAGACAGAGCATGAAAGGGGGAGGGGCAGAGAGAGAGGGAGACACAGAATCGGAAACAGGCTCCAGGCTCTGAGCCATCAGCCCAGAGCCTGACGTGGGGCTCGAACTCACGGACCGCGAGATCGTGACCTGGCTGAAGTCGGACGCTTAACCGACTGCGCCACCTAGGCGCCCCGAAAAAAATTTTTTTTTTAAATTTTCTTTCAGGGAGGGGACACCATAATCTCTTCAGTGCTTAAGGCCCGAGGGTCTTCTTAATCTGATCTTAACTGTGTTTTCTTCACTTCTTTGTGTCCAAAGCCTTGTACTAGGTCTGGCATGGAGACCGTGTTTAGTCAAGGTCTGTTGGATGAACTAACAAATGGATGGAATGTCTGCAGAACAGAATAAAGTGCTGGGAAGGAGACAAAGATTAGAGCGAGGAGTGGGGTGGTGCTGGGAAGCAGCATTCAAGAACCTGGTGGGAACATCTGCTCTGGTGCCCCTAGAGATTTGCTATAATTTCCACTCATTCCGTCGTATCTTTGATTGCATCGGTTCACCGTTTTATCTGGCTTCATTGTCTGTTCTTTCCTTTCTTTGAGTGTTGCAAAAAGTGTTTCCTTTCTCTAGTGAGCATATGAGCTAGCAGTTGCTTCTCACAAGGGTCCTTTTGCAAACCCACTGCCTTGTTCTGTGTCCTTGGCGCTCAGGGTCTCCTGGGAGCTTTGGCTCCTGGGTGCGCTTGCACCATTTCAGTAGCTGCTTTCTTCTTATAGCTTGTATATTCTCTTGCACCATTTCCACCCAGACCTATAACAGAAAGATGACTGCAGATTTTTCCATAAATAGCATCAATCTCTTCACCTTCTGGAGCTTTATCATGTACTCTTGAGATGGAGTCCAGCTGGCTGGGTGTGAATGCACGTTGTTTGTGCCAATTCAGTCTCGGCAAGTATTTTCATCAAAATTAGAGGCTGAAGTTGTTGGCTGCCAGAGCATCCCTGGTAACTGAATACTTTTCTGGTAAGGGGGTGTGAGTTGTGCTCTGAGGCTTTATGCAAGAGTGCACAGTCTCAGTTACTTGCTCTTTTTTTGGAGGGTATCTTTGGATTCAGGCATACCTTACCACATCTGGGCAAGGGAGCACTTGGTCCCATTTGAATTTGTGGCTAGAATCAAGGGCCAGCCTTGGGCAAACTTGTAAAATAGGTATAGGGTATAACCCAAATGAAACTAGGCTGTATTTAGCCCTGTCTCAGCACAGAATCACATCCAAAAGAAATCCAAATCCAACTCCCATAAAAGCCTTGAAAAGTAAGGTATGGTTAACTTACCTTACTATTACAGAGCACATTCTCTCTCTTCAAGTCTCACTTCTTCATTTTTTTAAGTTAATTTATTTATTTTGAGAGAGAGAGAGACAGAGCATGTGCACCCATGAGCATGTGAGTGGGGCAGAGAGAGAGGAAGAGAGAGAATCTCAAGGAGGCTCCATGATGTCAGCACATGAGATGAACCATGAGATCATGACCTGAGCCAAGATCAAGAGTCAGATGCTTAACCAACTGCACCACCCAGTTGCCCCTAAAAGTCTCACTTCTTAAGAGCTTCCTCCAATCCAAAAGAGCCCTTTTCTCTCTGAGACTCCTCCACCCTCATACCCACCCTTTATTACCCTCCCCCCTCTCAGGGGATGCAGGGTGGTAGTATTTTAAAATATTTCTTTTTTTTTAAATGTTTATTTTTGACAGGGAGAGAGACAGAGCATGAGTGGGAAAAGGACAGAGAGAGAGGGAAACACAGACTCCAAAGCAGGCTCCAGGCTCTGAGCTGTTAGCACAGAGCCTGACGCGGGGCTCCAACTCACGAGCTGTGAGATCATGACCTGAGCTGAAGTCAGACGCTCAACCCACTGAGTCGCCTAG